ATCTGTGTCATCAATCTTCCCTTGATCTGGGAGTTTCTCTGCACAGGAACCTCAGGTCCAAAGGACGTGCTGTACTCCCGGCACTGCTTTCTTGGTGGTATGAGGTTCCCATGTGTCTCTGCTCACTTTTCTCTCTTACATCTTGAAAGAGATTGGATTAAGACACTATCTAATCTTGTAAAGCTCATCAGTATAACCTCATCATAGTGATAGAGTTTACAACACATAAGAAAATCACATCAGATTACACAATTATACAATACTGGGAATCATGACCCAGCCAAGCTGACAGATATTTTTGGGGGGACACAATTCAATTCATGACAGTAAATAACTCTCTCATCTCTCACGTATTGTTTTCCGTCACTGACGGAAAAACTTGGGGAGCTTCTGAAGCTGTGCCTACACATCATCAAAATGCGAGGGCATAGACTCTGCTCTTTCACTAATCCTCCCAAGAAGAACTTCATTACTTCTCCAATCTGCTTCACTCTTGCTTCCCCTCTGCATTTCCAATTTCAGGTTGGATTTCAGGCCCCGCAGATGCACAAAGGAACCCTGGCTGTGCAATGGTTAACCCAGCTGCTAACCAAAAGTCTTCAGTTCAAACCCACTAGATGCTTTGAGGGACAAAAGACCTGGTGATCTGCTCCCATAAAGATTGCAGCCTTGGAAACCCTATGGGGCAGTTCTGCTTTGTCCTACAGGGTTGCTGTGAGTCAAAATCGACTCAACGGCACACCACCACAACAACATAGATGCACAACAGGGCCATGCTGCTTCAGAAGTTCCCGTGGTGCCTCCAGGGTGTTGGCCATCCTTGAGAATCTTCTAGATGGGTATTGCTTACATAAGCAGCTATTTCTACAGTAATCTTATCAACTGATCTTCATCATTTCTTTTCAATTGAGATATAATTCACATACCATGAAATTTACCCTTTCAAAGTATAACTAATTCAGTAGTATTTAGTATATTCACAAAGCCCAACCATCATGACTATCTAATTCTAGAACATTTTCATCAGTCCAAAAAGAAACCTCTTACCCATTAGCAGTCACTTTCCATTCTCCCTCCCCCCTGCCCTGGCAACCACTAATCTATTTTCTGTCTCTATAGGTTTGCTATACAACAGAGTAGAACTGCCCCATAGGGTTTCAGGAGCACCTGGTGGATTCGAACTGCCAACCTTTTGGTTAGCAGCTGTAGCACTTAACTACTATACCACCAGGGTTTCCATGGGTCTGCTTATTCTGGATATTTCATATAAATGGAATCATACAATATGTGGTCTTTTGTGTCTGGCTTCTTGCACTTAGGATAACGTTTTTAAGGTTTATCCACGTTGTAGCATGAACCAGTACTTCATTCCTTTTCTATGGCTGAATAATAATCCATTGCACAGACACACTACATCTGCATAGATTTTGATGCAAGATTAGCCTATAAATTCATTAACTGAGCTGCAGACCATGAACACTGACACTCTGTTGCACAGTTGCTATAAACCCATCCAAAGCCACATCACACAGACGTCTCCCCAAGTCAGGTGCCAGCGCCGAATGACTAATGTGGCTCCAGCAGCTAAGCCCTGCTTGTCTGAAGGAGCAGCACACTGGGGGTCCTCTTGGAAGGGAAGCAGAAGTCCACTCTGTGGTTAAGTCTGTGACTCACTGCACAGGTAGGGTCAAGAGCCATGCCCTTAAAATCAGGAATTCCTCCCAGGTTCTTCTTTTCAATATAGAAAGCTCTATAGCCTTCCCTACATCTCATTCCAGCCTGTTCTCATTCAATTAAGGCCCTGGTGGCGCAGTGGTTAAGGTTTGGCTGCTAACCAAAAGGTCAGCAGTTCAAATCCACCAGCCATTCCCTGAAAACCCTATGAGGCAGTTCTATCCTGTCCTGTAGGGTCGCTATGAGTCGGAATCAACTCGACCACAACAGGTTGGGTTTACAGGTGCTAAACAGAGTTAGATGCTGGGACTCAAAGAGCAAGAAACTGGATTTGTGCCCTCCAAGGTTCTCACAGCTGGTGGGGACGTAGCTGGGTCTATAATAAGGTGAACGTGCTGAGTGCTCAGGGGCTAGGGGAGGGCACAACAGGAAGTACTCAGAGAGGTCAGGGAAGGCTTTGCAGAAGCAGTGACATTTGAGCTACATCCTAAGGAAGAGCAAGTTTTCTGGGATGACACAACAGTTGGTCAAGAGGGTGTTCCAAGGAGAGGGGACAGCAAGTACAAAGTACTGATGCCAGGAAAAGCATAATGTGCTCAGGGAACTGCAAGGAATTCAGGCTCAGCTGTGGAAAGTGTCTGGGCAGAAGGCGTGGGGGACAGGGCCATGGTGGGCGTCAGAGTTTGAACTTATGCCTGAAGGCTGACAGGAGCCACTCACTGAAGGATTTTAATCAGGGTAATGACATGATTTTATAATTGGTTCAAACCTCAATTCCCAGAGGCATAAGAAATTCAATTTTATTTTTCTCTAACTCAGCAGATATTTATAACTAGGGCTGGGACCTATGAGGCTGGGATTAGCTGAGGGTTCAGGCTTGTGGTATGGTGCATTGGAGCTCAACACCAACCCACAGCCCACTTTCCTTCTAGTTGACTTCCTGTACTGCAGAGGCTGGAAAGCTAGAAACTACAATCCCCAGATCCCTTTGCAGCTAGAGCGCCAGGCATGACTTAGGTCCACCACTCAGATACACAAGAGAGAGATTTGGAAGGTGGACGTGAGGCAGAAGCCATGCTTCTGCTGTCAGGGGCAGTCGAGGGCATTAGCCGAGGTCCAAGTCCAGTTACTATTGGCTTTATGGGTATCGAGAGCAGGATGGGGACATCCTTTTTTTTTGCCAGCACAGATTAGGAGGTATGGAGTAGCTCTGGAGCCAATACAGCAGGCAGTCCCCAGGTTATGAATGAGATCCGTTTGTGTCTTTAAGTCAAATTTGTAGGTAAGTCGGAACAGGTGCGTATGGTTCTTATTTAGCCTTACTTTGGTACAAGGCTCAAAGTCTTTACAATTATTTAAAAGCTGTACATGCAGCAGGTGAAGGTGATTGTAATGAAGAATTTGTTGTGAGCAGGGCTTGGTTCAATAGTTTCGAAGTGTGAGGGAAAATTTACGTAACATTAAAGGGCAAGTAGTTGTTGTCAGGAAATTCGTAACCTGGGATAGCTTCCCGATCCCTCATCCTCCTGATTGTGGCCAACATGATGCTCTCCAGGCTGGTTAGTACCCTGAGGGGGTTCCGGGAGTCATTCCTGTAGGCCTAGCCTTGAGCTCTTCCACCATTCTGATAGTACTCCATTTCCTCTATCTAAGCACTTTCTTTTAAAAGAGGGTGGTTTCTATTATGTCAGTGGACACTTGGCTGATACAGTGCCACTCTCAGTGCCTGGGAATCCCTCTGCAGCTCCTGCTCCTGCGAGGCCTTAGCCAATACCATGTGAAGCAGAGGTCAGTCAGTCTGTGATGTCTGGGAAGGTATATGTCATTCTCAGTTTCCATGGAGGGAAGGGCCTCTGCCTCCCACCAAAATGGACAGAGGGCATTCCCCAAACACAGAAAGGGATTCAGATGCTGGGTGGCCAAAAAGAATGACAAAGGGCCCCTAAAATCAATAAAAGTTCCTTTATTCCATATTTTCCCCAAGGATAGCAACGCTGACAAGCAAGGCCTTTTATGTGACAGGGAGATGCTCAAAACAGACAAAAGTGGCTAAGTCTCAGGATGCGACTGGAGGTGCACTGGACTCTTCCAAACTCTTGGGCCTGGCAGCCCCCTCTTCCCCTCCTCATATGAGACACAGCTGTTGCCAGGAATCACTGAGCCAGGGCCAGAGCCCTGAGATAAGCCCCAGGAAGGCAGGGGCCCAGCTCAGCACTGTCGCTGCAGAAAGTGCAGGCCCACCTTCCTGTTGGGAACCAAGACTACACGGGCTACGCTCTTCAACTCCCCCGTCTCAGGAGCCAGTACCACCTTGTACCGCTGGATCAGCTGGGAGGCAGAAGTACACAGGGGTAGTTAGAGTCTGTATCTCCAACCACTGCCCTTTTCGGCATGCTCCTGCCTTGTACCCCACCACCTTTCCTTCTCCTCCCCAGGTCTCCTTCACCCCTCCCTGGCCCACGAATGCCTCCAGTCTCTCCCCTATTCACCCTTGTCAGCATCAGGTACATCTCCAGCTCAGCAATCCTGCGGCCCAGGCAAGCCCGGACCCCATAACCAAAGGGCACAGAGCCAAATGGGTGGTGGACCCCAAGGGCATCAGGGTGGTTCTTCCTCAGCCAGCGGTGAGGCTGGAAACTCTCAGGCTCAGGGAAGACGCTGGGGTCCCGAGACACCACATAGTGGCAGAGCACAAACTGGGTCTGCAGAGGAAGAATGGGCAGCTCATCAGCTTAGGGCTGCAGGGCACCTCCAGGAACCCAGGCTCTAACCCCACTCACATTCTTGGGGAAGAGGAAGCCACCAACTTCAATTTCCTTTTCCATGATGATCCGGGAGTTTGTGGGGACCACAGGATAGAGACTGCAGGGGAAAGGGAGTCCAAGGTCTGCCTCTGGATCCAAGGAGAGGCAGAGCGCCCCCACCTGTCTGGTCCCCAGACCTCTCTTCCGTCTGTCTCCTGTCCCCAGCCCCAGCCATGAGCCCTCACTCCCATCTCTGATTTCCTCCCATACACAGGCCCTGGTCCCCGGGAATAGCATCCTACCGCAGGGTCTCCTTAATCACAGCTTTGAGCAGGGGCATGCAGGCAAAGTCTTTATACTGGGGCACCTGCCCGGCTGGCACCACGCCTACCACTTCCTCATGCAAGGCCTCCTGGACTGCTGGGCTCCTTGACAGGTGGTAGAGGGCCCATGTCAGTGTGTTCGATGTCTGGGAGGTAGAGTGAGAGAGGAAGTGAGGGGACACTTTTAGGAAAGAGGCCAGCTGGGTGGTGGGAGGGTATGGGAGTGGGTGCATACAAAATGCAGGAGAAAAACAAATGTGCCACAGCATGGCAGAAAAAGACAAGGGGGTTCATGGGGACTTCCATGCTAAACATGAATCCACAGAAGAATGAGGGCCAAGATGATGGAGAATAGCACGTTAGCAATACGAGGAGACTGTATCAGAGAGAAACTCAACACAACTAAAGGACTGGAAACAGGTCAGAGAAAGAAGGTGCTCACAGACAAGCTCCACTCTGTTCAGAATCAAATGAGGAGAAATGGTCTTAAGTTACAGCAAGAGAGAGTTGGATTAGATGTGAGATGCAACTTCCTGGCTGTCAGAGAGAGCAAGGTGGCTGTAGGAGGCGATGGAATACCCCTGAGGACCATCCTCAGCCTGCCTCAGCTAGGCTGAATGATCCCTCTGCTTTCCTTCTAGCTCTACATCCATGTTACAAAAAGAGAAGCCGGTACCTGAAGGGATGAAGGTCAGGATCAGGTAGGGGATAACGGGGAATTGGTTCAGGATGGGAGCTGGGAGCCCCTGGTCTTCTCAATGGCCCCCCTCACGCACCGTGTCCACTCCAGCCATGAGCAGCTCAGGCAGGCTGCCCATGGCGTCATGAAGACTGAGCTGTCCGCTGGTCAGCAGGAAGTGCAGGTAGCCAGATACCTGGACCTCATCTGGCTCCCCCGCCTGTAGTTGAGCCTCCACCTCCTTGACTTTCTGATCAATCAGCTTCTTCCCTGCAGGGACAATAGAAAATGGGGGAGGATAAGGTCAAAAGTCATGACCTCCAGGGACCAGGGCTTTGAACTGGTTCAGTCATGGCCAACAAAGCAAAACCAGAATTTTTACAATTTGGGTGAACCGGAACGATAACTAGAATGGGAAAAATTACGAGTCGAGGCCCTGGCATGTGAGACTCAGAAGAGGCGTAGTGAGCCCCTTCAGGAGCCAGATGCACGAGACTGGATTATAGGCAGGATTGTGGTGAGCGACACACATTCAAAGCTGCGCGGTCACCCAGGACACCTCTGTTTCTGACTCTGCTCAAAATCCCACAGACAAGAGATTTGGTTGCTATGCAACACATAAGCTGCTCTTGTTTTCTAATACGGAGATTAGGTTTTATCAGGGCTTTGACCCATAATTTTTTCCGTTCCAGTTAGTGTTCTGGTTTACCCAAATTTTAAAAATTTGGGTCTGTTTTGGTTTCACTTCCTCGGCCATAACTGAACTGGGAAGAACCAGTTTGAATCCCTGCCTGGGACCAAGAGCCAGTCTGGCACCTACATAGTATGAGGAAGAAGGTCCTGGGGGAGGCTGCTAATGCTCAAACACTGGGGTCCACCCCCCGTTTCCTTTCTGGCTCCACTCTTGGATTCCTCACCGAAGGAGAAGATGGTATCCCAGCCATCCAGGTAACGCCTCCAGAAGGGCAGGAGGGAACGGGTCCATTTGGGGAGGAAGGTGGCATAGAGAGAGTTCTGGAACATGAGCCCAACAGATCTGATGAAGGCTGTGGTGTCCTCAGGGATGGATGGCTTCAGGCAGCCAATACGTTTTTCAAACAGGATGTAGCAAATAGCTGGGCAGCGGCAGGGGGCCAGGGGTAGAGCACAGAGGTCATCACAGGAGGCAGTGCCATGGCACACAGGATCCATGTTGCCTTGAGGAGGGGGAGCAAACAACCTACCCCTGACCCATTCTCACCCCCAGCCCCTCTTCCCAGCACCGGTACCTTCCAAGGCAAAGTGGTAGAAGAGGTGGGCCATGTCAGGCACATGGTCCCCTGAGGTACTCTCTGCTCGCAGCTGGTCCAGCCGAGCCAGAAAATCCTCAGCTACCTCATTCAGAGCATCCGTATAGAGCGCAGCCTCTGCTGGCTTCAGTATCCGCTGGTTCAGAGCCTGGCGCAGCTGGTACCAGTGGTGCCCGTCCCTGCACACATGTAAGCATCAGACAGAGGGTTGGTTTAAATTGTTATCTTCCCACCCTGAGATCCCTATGGAGTTGAAAAACCTCAGACTCCTAGAATTTAGAATGATAGGATCACCAAACTTCAGGATCCTACTAAGTAGAAGTGGTTAATGTGGGCATCTAGAATTAGACTACCTAGGGTCAAATCAAGTGTCTGGTGATTACCAGCTGGGTGACCTTAGACAAATGACTTAAATTCCTCTATGACTCCATTTCCCCATCTGTAAGATGGGGATAATAAGAGTGCCTATCTTGTAGGGTTGTTCAGATGATTAAAGTGCTTAGATCAATGCCTGGCACATGGTGAAGGCTTAGTGGATGTTGACTGTGATTATCTTAAAATTATACAACTCTAGAATCTTCCATGTGTGCAATGAGAGGGAGCAGTGGTGGGTTCAGTCCCTCTGTGTGGAGGCTGAGGAATAAAGCAGGAGCAAATTAGGACTCCTGGGGTGCTCAGGTTCTGAGTCTTCAGACTCTGCTTGGCTCAGTGGGTCAGGGGACAGGGAGG